TACTATTTCGCGTTATGATTGAGGTGTTAACCGATTGAACCCTCAAGTTGGTGCTGAGAGAAATTTAATACAAAAGCCAACTGCAAAATGGAAGATGATTAAGGTAACTAAGAGAAACATTGAAAAATAGAATTTTTGGTGTGACTATAATTTTATGGATGAACCAATTGGCTACCTTCAACCACCATAAACCAGTTAGATTTAATACTGTGCCTCTCTGAATTTTGCAAAAATTCACTCATCTATATGACTATAGAGCATTCTTTCATCATAGCTGATGTTAGTTCATAATGAAAATACTAGCCCTAATTCCTTACCCTAGCCTCTAACCTTATCACCTAATTTTAATTCTCAAAACACCAATTACTAACTTGATTTTGCACGTAACAAGTGGTTAGGATTTCAGAGGGTCACTTTATGGTCACTCAAGTGTTGTCCATATGTAGGTCCCACCAGTTTCGTTGCTACACGCGATCCTAAAGTACTTTTCTTAAATTACCAGCATTTGGTGGTCTCCTTAACCTTGCTTAGGCAATCAGTTCTACAAGTTTCATCATAGGAAAACATTGCTTGTTACTAATGTACAACGAATAGACTGGATATCCTGACACATGCGCTCAATCAGACTCACACATAAAATGTACAGTGGGTTAAATGTTAAGATTACAGAGAGCCCACAAATAGTACAATAGTTGAATGAGCTTGCTACAAGCTAAACTTTTAGCTTGGAAATTGTACATAGTTGTTCAACCCAGCGTAAATGTAGCTTGACACTAGCGTATTAAATTCTAGGTACTTAAAACCATCCAAGTAATCTTTCTGCAATTATAAACATCCATTAAAAATGTTTAATTGCAGATAGAATATTTAAAATTTCGTCTCATTGTAGCGACTTTCAACATCAAGTTGAGTTTAAAAAAGAAAGTAATTGACAAAAATGTACTATTTTAAACAACTTTTAGAAACAAACTGATAATAAGAATTCATGTGAGGTAAAAATAGATTGTAATTTACTACAAAAGTGCAAAACCTATTTTCAAAGTGTATTATTACCAATATTTTATTGTTCGTTTGTTAAGTCCAAGACCAATATATCTAAATGATTTCTGTATTAGGATAGTACAAGTGTAAACACGCTTGTTTTTCTTCAAATGAAGTGTCATAGATACTCATTTTTTGAGTTGTTTTTTTCATCAAATTATTTTAATTCTATAAATCTTACTTTTACTTAAAGTTTCTCATTTCGGTGTTTAACCTTTCACTAATATGAAAACATGTGCATGTGGTACTATTCGAGTAAATATGTCCTAACCATTCAAGCTGTTAGAATTTTCATCAAAATTGCATTCATTATCAAATCTTCACAGCTGAATGGAAGCTTTCAAAAATAAACAAGTATACGATACATGCCAATATTTCACATTCTGTTTCAGTATTTCTTCAGACATACCTTTTTATCACCTCTCGAATCATATTTCCAATATTTGTTCCTTCCTACTAGCAGTGCTACTACAGTTTTTCTTAATTCCTTTTGACTCATTATGTTTATTTCAACCCTTTCTGCTGCCATGCAATATAACAGCTTGTACTAAAGCATACTCGTGCTTGGCTCTACGTTGATTATGATCTAATAACTTCAGAAATACCTCTTGTTTTCTGTTTAAATGACATTGCTTATCATATAACTGGATTCTAGTAGCATTCGTCCATAGTACTGTATTTTGTTTAGTGTTCTTTTCTGGAAATCGTCGGAGTCAATGAGTCATTAACGCACTACCCAGTTAAGGTTATTCTTAATGGTTCGAATGTAATGTCGTAACAATTTACTTCACATTTTAAGTTGTTCGTATAAGAAAGTTTACTAGGTGAGAAAATATATAATGTTGTCCGACTTTCTTTGGGCTTATGTGTTTGTAGTGGTGGTTTCTTCAGTAGAATTTGCTGGGACGAATCAACTAACGGTAAATATACGCGTCTATTTAATGAGTTGGTCTGTATTGCCCAAGCACTTTTCGAACAGATTTTTTGTGATTCTTTTATATGAATGATTGTTGTAAGCCATCTTTAGATGGATGAATAGTTTCTTTGCTTTTTACCGTTCATAAATGTATGAATATTGTTACTTAACTGTATGCCTAAAGTGTCTTGGTCATGTGCTTGCTGAGGTTTTTGGATTGATTTACTGTTACGTCCTCTACTTGATTACGGTAGAATACGATATGCGACTAACGGTACTCGAGCGTTTAAAACCCCAAATTCGCAAATCAGAAGACAGAAGAAGCAGGGGAACTGATTATTGGGTAAGAATCAAAAAAGTACATAAAAATATAGGTATTTATGATTATTGGCGTTGAATACAACATCATTGTAATTCAACCGATCCGCAAGTAGGCATGTTATGTACCGTCCAATCCTAGCATGCCATATCAGCGTTCTAGAGAGCTCTGTCACGTTCTGATTGGTTAAAATCTCTTTGGCTCATTTAGAGCCTCTGGAGGCTGTGACTCACGTAATTAATGGTACTTTTAACAGCTGATCCGGCATCTTGGCATTGTAATTAAGGACTTGGAAGGATGAGAATTTGCATTGGGACTTGACTAATCCATGTGAACTTATCGTTAGTTCTGCTAGTAAAACACAAGGCTCTTCTTGTGGTCTAAGTGTTTCTATCCCAAGTCGGTTACTCTAGGGATGATTACTCATTTTAGTGGTCATTAGTAAAGTTACGTGATTCACAAAGAAAAATATTCATACACGCCAAGTTGAAGTAGAATTTCCCTATTATGTTTTGTCTTGCAACCATATTTTTTAAAATAACTAACGTCAGCGGAAGTTATTTTTTATTAAAGATGAGATTTCTTGTTGTTTGGTAGTCTTAGTGTACGCAGGTCCTAATTTCCCTTTTTGTGTCCATTTTGCCAATATTTTTTGTACCAGTTTCTCATGAACCTCTCCTTTTATGTTGCTTTCTATCATTATGCAGCAGTAATAAGTTTTTCTCTTCATGTTCTTCGTCTTATTTGAGCTACATTCAACTTCTACGCTTATGCAGCAGGCGATAGTTTTTTGATGGAACTGCATATACTGTAAGGTCTATAATTATGATCAGTCTAATCAAGTTGTTAGCATTAAGGTATGTAATTTCAAGAATAATACACTAGGCTGGAGTAGTATCGTTTATTTACGCATCTATCGTGTTAGTTTATCTGCATTATTACATATTTTACATCTCTAGAAAGATGAGACTTCAATTTATTGATGAAATGAAAAGTAGTTTGTAGTGTTAAGACTTATCTCAAGCCAACATGTGTTATTTTAGCTTCCGAACTGACTAGTGTATTCATTCTTCTTGAGTCGTATTTTGACCATGTTAGTTACTTGCTGCTTTATATGAGTGTGTGTGTATCACTTACCTTACCCCATTGATCACATGTCTGCAGCCCATTTTTGTCTGGTTGCAAATAATAAACAACGTTTTACTAAAATGGGTTGGCTCACTTGGCTTCTCCGCTTCGCTTTGATTATCTACTTTTCATTCTCAATGTCCATTTGGATTGTAGTGCCGTGCTTCGCTTATTGTTCACCTCGATAACCGTTATATTACAAATCTTAACAGTGCGTGAAATCAGAAGGCAAAGAGAAGCGGCAACTACAGTTTATTGTCAAACAAAACAGGCCAGAAAGCTACAAGCGCATTAGCAAATATCAGCGAGCGAGTGCAAGCAATTACATAGTCAATTTATAGTCAAATTGTATAGGGGCACAGCAAAACAAACCAAAAACCAATAGTGGGATTTGAGTGCATCATATGTGGGGAGGAGGATGAGTCATCGAATGATACTTAAGCAATCAACATTTTGGCTAGAGTGTCATGTGCTCTAGTGGTCATAACAAAGGAATGTGCAAATTGTTACTATCCAAATGATAATGTCTGTTAAGTTAATAAAAGGACTTAACCAAAATTAACCATAATCGAAATTGTTGGATAGTGTCTATAGCATAAACGAATGCTTGAATTAATTCATCCAACCCAACCTGTAGTTGACTTCACATTACCGCCATCGCACAAACGGGCTTAGCCTAGGTAATATATGGAATTAAGTGTGCTCACAGAATATTCACTAGTCCATACGAATTGAAGTCAGATTGGTGGGCCACTAAAAGGTAATACTTCTTTTTTCTTTGCTTTCGACTTTTTGTTTTACCAAAATACATTTTTCTACTTTCTCTACTATTTATCGCTTATATTGTTCATGTTATATTATATTTTTGTCATTGTACCTTCCTGAAGAAGTCGTTATCCATGGTTTTGAATTTCTCGATCTAATTATGCAATAGTATTATTAGAGAATGCACTCTAATATCTTAGTTTATGTTGTTCATGTACTGAACATCGGTTGTTTTTAAACCGTTTCCTCAAGTAAACAGGGTGTCGTATCTTGTCTACACCATGGAAAAATGTTTATTTCAGTGAAAATTGATTTGGTCATCTCTTCTCGAATTCAAATGTAGTAGGCATACTATCATGCACCACTATAAACTATCTTCCAAATAACACTTTACATTAACTTCATGTTATTATCATCTTAATGATAGCCTAGACATTTAGAAGGTTTTTTTTCCTGTTATTATTTCACGATTAGAACTTATGAGAATTTGCCTCAGGAACTTAGCTTTTAAGTAAATATGTTGAAGTTTATACTGTCACAATATAGAGTGCCTTGTTGCAGAATACATTTATACGCAAAGTATTTCCAACTTGATATTTTTACACTTAGCTAAAGCACGTCTAAAATATTCTTGTCTATTGCATGCGTGTCGTTTGTTTTGTTTTGGGTGTCTGTTTGATATAAGAATTCATCTTCTATCATAGGAATATTGTAATGTGCATACTATTTTTGCAATAGCACTACTAGCATTTATATTGCGTAGAAAAAAATTTTCAGAGTAATATATTTACTCAATAAATTTATTATTTAATTTGATTCGTATACATTTAGATTGTGGATGCTACTTTCTCTCATGATTCTCGGTGGGTAGCTGTTAGCAGCAATCATGGAACTACACATGTTTTCCCTGTTACTGCTTATGGAGGTCCGATCACTGTTCGTACGCATACTCGACCTCACGTTGTGAATCGTACTTCAAGATATCATCGATCATCCGGTTTAGAAGAGTATCATCTAACCAGACCACAACCTGAGAGAGGTGCAACTGAGTCAACTGGTCTTAGCAGTAATTCGTCTAGCAACTCTATCAATATCCCGTGCCAAATTCCCCAGTCTAGTTCTATGAAGCATCTTTATACCATCCGTAGTCAGTCGTCTGGTTTCGCATCTGGTGTGTCTAGAGCGACGTCGAATTTTTGTCAAACTGCACCGATTGCAGGTTTTGCACCTCAGTGCCCTCATCTAGGATTTACAGCTTTCATGACTCCGCTCAAAGAAAACCCTGACTGTTGTATTAGTAAGTTCTATGTAACCATTTTTATAAACAAACTTTCACTGTATTTTTCTATAGATGGTTGTATGCGAAATTTCAAAGTTTAAAGTATATAACTATCTGTCCACTTTTATCTCTTCGGCCTCTCCAGTATACTGATTTAACCTCCATTTCTTATGAGGTTGAGTATATGATGTCTTGAGCTTAATTAATTTGTTAAACTTAGCGTCATATTTCCCTACATAAGCAGCTTTTCGATTTTTGGATTAATAAATAATTTATTTGTATAGTTGCTCTTAAGATGGATAAAATCAAATCGAAAAAAGGAGTCATGCATATTTGAATAGTTAACCATAGGGTCTTAAAAACGTTCAAATACTTTATTGGAACCTTGAAATAATTCGTATTTTTGGAATTATTTACTCATCTCTTATCATTGTTATTCAGAGTTCGGTAAAATATACAGTCCCGTTAGTGAATGAATTGTTTAATATTTCACAGATAATTAAGATCACCTAATTGAGACTAGTTGGATGACGTTACAAATATGATCGATTGAATTCTGTAAGCTCTGGAAGTCTGGAAGCTTTTTAATACTAATTGCTATTCAGTGACAGATTAGTGTTTTTAATCCGGTTCTACAAGTGATCATTCACGATCAGAGTATTTCAACAGTAGAATCTTTTGATGGTGTTATCAGATTCTTCTTTAGGATCAACTTTGTCACTTTTAGGGAAGCCATCATGAAGGTTATCTAGTGAAGTATACATAAAAATAGGTTATATAACTAGATCCTGCAATCACTCTATTACTTCTTCATCTTTTTAAAAATGACCAAAGACGTCTATCCACACGATATTACTTACTTACGCCTGTTACCTCTCACGGAGGAGCATGGGTCACTCACCAACATTCTCCATCGAACTCTCTTCTGGGCAATCCTGGTTTTTAGAAGGGGCACCAACCTCGTGACTTCTGAAGAATCTCGGCTTTCGTCATGAGGCGTTATAATTCGTCCTTCAACTCGAAGGGCATGGTTTAAATAGTTGAAATTGATTATTCTGGTTAGCGTTTTTTAGCAAGGTTATTTCTTACGGGATATGGTTGCCGACCTCATGCCCAACTCTCCTTCTTTACCCGGGCTTGAGACCGACAGTAACCGTAGAAGAGCTACAGGTAGAGTTTCTTATGATATTGAAATAGTGATATTCTTCAGTAGCGTAGTTCTTTTCATTCAGTAGGACTAAAACATATCAAAGTTACTATTTCAACTGTTTAGCAATGATAACTCACTTCCAGAACATACACAGTATTAAGATTTAGTTAAAGCTAGTAAATTAATGCCATGTTGATATGTATCCATTACAGTTGTCACATTCTAGGTTTATTACAAGAGGTATTTTTGTACAAACTGAAATCTACAGTTTTTTCAATATTCAAACCGACGATTTTGGGCACTTGGTTTGGTGAGCAAACTAGTAATTACTCATTTGCTTATCAACAACGTCCTCATTAACTATGGATCTAGTTTTCTCTTGTTTCCATCAACAAGAAAAATAGAAATAAAATATCTCAACATTCATGAATCCTTCTTTCATTAAAAAAGTAACAGCTTGACATCATAAAAGAGCAGTTATGTACAAGCACAGTTTATGGTACTTGTGACTTGACATATCAATTACAGCTTATGAGGAAGTGTATTAAACGATCCCTTATCTGTTTTCCAGAATAATGACTACCTTCACAACGTCATGAACAGATATCTGTCAAATCTATCTACCATCACAAAATAATTGTAAGAACTCAAAATGTGAATCACTATTGTATCATATGCAGAAACATTCTGAAATTAGCAGTAGCATTTCGAAACTTTTTAGATTTACTATTGTTCATATATCAGTATAATTGCTTCACCTTATATCGTGCAAATCGAAGCAATAAATGACCGAAAGAAGGCAACTTGAAAATTAAATCAACTTTGAGATATACTTCATTGGAATAAGTACACGTTAAACATTTACGTCCACATCCATAAAGGTGGGTTGACAACCAAAGGACACAACTTCTGTTTGATAAATATTCAGTTCGCGTATTAGGGTGAATTCCTAGAATTCTTTGTTCCAACTTAATCTGCTATCAGTATATGTATTGACATAGATTCAACGTATCAGTGTTTAAGACGGAAGTCTTATATATCCGCGGAAAGTTAGTACTTACCAAGTGAAACTTAATCGCACAGCGTAATGACGATAGCGAAGGCGATGTGTAAGAATTTGTTCTACGCCAAAAAATAAATCAAAACCAAATCTTAATACAACAGTCTTTTCAAGTTCTATTTACACCAATGGTCAGAGTAGCACTGGACACTAATTAATCGGTAACTAAACTTATAAGCACAATTTACTATATCGTAAGTTTGAACTATTATTACCAATACATGTAACTATCTTGCTGGATTATGTAATTGACTCTTAAATTATGACTGAATGACATAGGAAAATAGATGAAGTTAGTTGCGTATGTCAGTCGTACTCTAATCAATTGTGATTTACCCTATCATGTCAGGATCAGTTGTTTATGTGATTAGAAACGAGGGTCCACATAAAGATAGCAAGGTTTATAAAGCGAATCAACTACAAAGAAATGTATGTTATGCCTGATACTAAATCGATTCCGCGGTAACGAACGAAAGCCAATGACACAATGACACGATAAGCTATTCTAATCTGTTGTCCCAGGCCCCGCTAACTAGATGAAGAAGTCCAAGGCAAGTAGGGGAATATATATGTATTCCGTAAGCAGCCGAGTACAAGCAATCAAATAAGGGAAAAAGTCAAGCGCATTTATACAGTAACAAATTGTCCTTGAGCACCATTAGTAAATAGCACACATAAAGAAACAAAGGACCAATAGCGGTTAAGATAGTTTACAGGTGGGAAATATGACGTGAAGGTAAAAGAGCGCTTTTGGCGCGAAAACAGCTAAATTCAAATTTTCAAAATAAAACTACAAGATTAGGCCATTTACCAAGTAAGTTCTGGGGATTTGACATCCCCAACACCTCCCCTTTTTAAGAAATCCGAGCTCCTCCTCCCCCACGAAATAGTGTTGGATCCTCATATACCCAATTTTCTACTAATGCGATTCTATTTATAACATGTTTCTGGCATTCAATAGGGAACCTGCTAAGATTGACTGGATGGTGAGGATCGACATTTGATGTGAGGTCAGAATTTGATTCTGCAGAAATGTAGTCATTAGACTTATTGCGAACATCACTGGCAGGTTGTGGATCACTATGAAAAACAGTGTCCAGCAAAACTGCGCTAGGTTCCGGATTTGATGCATGTAACAAATTTCCTGGACAAGCTTGGGAATCTTTGGCATTAGATTCGGTAAAAATTTCTATTGCAGAATGCGATTCGCTCGGTGTGCTGCTCGATATGATGTCTGGCACTTCGTAGGTGATTGGTGCGACCACTTCATGAGCTTTTAACATAGCATCGTGTTGATGAGAGCTGAAAGCGTCATTGATAGGACCTGCTAATTCCAGGATAGTGGAGTTTGAATCCACTACCGGGCATGTTGCTGAAACGGATAGTGATGGACAACCGGGCATGTCTTGTGATACTGCAGTTTCGTTTAGGTTGCGGCTTGTTGAGGAATCATGGGGGCTGCGATCATTTGCTAGCTCTGTGTGCAATTCAGAGATTAATACATCCACTTCTGACGCATATGTGAAGCATTGATGATCCAGAAACTGTGTACGTAGTTTGACCATGAACTCCAAATGTCGGTCAAAGAGCAACTGTAAGCGGTCAGAAGGGAGCGTCATTTTTCACTTTTGTCCCCGTCGCCAATTGTTATAATGCGAAATATAGCGTATTGCGATAGGACTACGCGAAATTCTACCGATTGACCAAATTCAGATATCCTAGTTCGACCCCAATACTGTTTCCCAACTCCAATAAATCAGAACACAGCCGTTAAATGAGAATTGTTTATGGGGTCAGCAGCAGAACAAAAATGGTTTACAGACAAGGCATATTTATACAGTTACGATGAATATTAACAGTACCCAATGGAAAGAAAGGACACGTAAAGGTTATAATTAGGACGACTCAAAATTGACCAATAGGGAAACGACACATGAAAGTCATAGTTAGGACACTGTAAATAATGGCCAATAGGAAATAACATGCGAATTATGTGAAGAGTCTGGAAACATACCATTTTACATTGGAGATAATTTTTGGATATTCTTGTGAATATCCTAACAATGTATCAGGGACTGAACAGCTAGTCAGTGACACTTACATGCAATGCCTTAATAATTTCTAAAGAAACTTCACTTACATCCATTGCTTTATGCAGAATATCATATGTATGTAGAGAGTACATTCCTTACCATATTTTTCTGTTCTCAAACGATCATATATGCATGATGTTTGTATGACTACATGGTGCTTTATAACTACATAACTGAAGGGATGATTGAAAAGTAATTTCATTGGACCATCTGCTTACATTCGATACAAATAACTTAGTGTGCGATCATGAAATATGACAGTATGTGGTTATGGAGATAGATGAATTTCGTTGAAATCTGAATTGATGTAAGACTACCATCAAAAACCTGGAAGCACTGGACGACGGGTTTTTTTAATGTGGGACTTTTTAGCAATGGGGGATCCAAGACTTCACATAAGTGAGTGGGGCCCAAAACCTGCGGTCTTGCGCGCGAACTCGAAAAACCGTGACTAATGGAGCTACACTGTGTCGAGTGTGAGGCAGTTGCTCACTGAAGACAATGGAAGATAGTCGTGACATGTAGTGGATTGATTGAAATAAGGCATTAACAATGTCGGGTACCGGCTCAGTGCTCAGAGGTTGAGTGTTCGCGTGTGAGATCGAAGGTCTTCACCTCGATTTCCGTCTGTGGGGTCATGGACACACCTCTGAGTAGTCACATACTAGAAAAAAATGACTTCCCAATGCTTCCAGGTTTTCAGTGGTAATTTAACTTAGGTAGGTTCATGTTTTCAATGAATTATAATATATGATTTAGAATTCCATTGAATTAACTTCTTTCACAATCATTACCTAATTTACTAAGTTGTGTATGGTCAACGGGTAGCTTTAAGTAAATTTGATTATTCTTAACCTTTATGATGTTTGGGATACGTGAGTACTGCAGAATTATTTGTTTTAAAGTTATATCGATGTTATACTGTATTTAAGGGGAGGATTATTTTTCGTGTCGAATCATATGATTTTTAAAACTGTTGTTAGTAATAAGTTTATGACGTTACTCCGCCAATAACTGTATTAAGCTCTATCACGGTTTGTACTTCTTCATTGACACAGGTTGGTTAAGGGTCATAATTAATTTATTCTTTTTCATTGAAACTTTTGGTCTCTAGTGATTTCATGTTTTCGAAATTTAAAAAGATCAACAAAATCAAATTATATATATATATATATATATATATATATATATGGGATTGGTGATAAGAACTACTTCCTCCTTACATTTTATATGATAATATTCTATCGTACTGGAAAGAAGGAACTTTATTTGCTCCTCTACTGAAATAATTTAGTCCACTTGCATCATTTATCGCTTCTTAAATTTTTATGGAGTTAAACCTTTTACTATTTATGTTTTCGTTAATAGTAGATGCATGTTGTCTAATGTGATTTGTTCTAGACTATATTTTATGGATTGCCAATGATTACTTTTCTTTAAAACTATTCTCCATACTATGTATCTCCTAAATGTACCGAAATTTAGTTTCTTTTCCTTGTTTAGATGAAAGGAGTTCAAATTCCTCGTCGATTCCTGCTGGTGACTCAGCATTGTCTGATGCATCACTATTTTTCACACATTCAAATCCATTTTCAGAATCATCCAGTGGTCATTTTCATGTTTTTGAACAACCTACTATGTTTCTAAATAGTGAAGGATTATGTGCTTGTCCACCGAACGCGTTGTATAACACTACTAATTCTCGGTTGCCTCCCTATCCAGAACCTTGTCGAGTTAAAGCTGAAGCAAGATTGAAACCATCTAGTGGTAATAGTGTAACGTCTATTGCTCGAGGCGCCGCCAGTAGTGCTTTTGAAGCTGTAACACCTATGAAGAATATAAATGCAGTAATAGTTAATCGTCATTTATCATCTGTTAAATCATGTTATTCTGATCCTAATCATGTTCACTGCCCTGAAGTGTGCACATATACACAATTGCCTGTTAGTACAGCATCTCGCCCTTCTCTTCATTCACGCAAGCATAATCGGCGTCACAAAAGTGGGCAATCACTTCAAAATTTGAATCAAGATATATCTAGTCCAACAAGTAGTGTTAGAGCTGCACGTTTTGGACCTCCTGTATGTTTCCTTCCTAATCAACTTCGTCTAAATAATGTTTCTTCAGACTATCGTAGTGACCCGTATGGTAAGACACAAGAACTTTTAATACTTGCATGCTCATAGAATTTATTTGTGTAAATTAGTTATTTGCATTATATTGTGTTCTTTAGTCTGCATATTTTTTTTTCAATTTCCTGCTAAGTGAAAGTACATGTTTTGTTAAATGTATTTGGTGGTACCTAGATCAATATAATTGATGTAATGAGTAAAAACATGCTACTTTTAATATCCTATGCACTGGAAATTTTTGAGCAAATGTTCAATACATGGGAAGATCTGAATTAAACATTATTAGTTCCATCTGAATAAACACACTCTAAATCAGAATAAAGGCGATGATTACTTGCTGTATCATCCTTTGGACGTGTTTCGGTACTTAGTAATTATTTAAAAGAATTAAAAGTACTAAAGTAGATACTTCAAGGCTAAAAATTGCCTTTTGGATCACATGTACTGGTCGTAGGTAAATAAGCTGTCAATTACTGGAAAAAGGAATTCAAGGATTGTAAAACGAAAATATTAATTACTGGTTGTTGATCTAACTAGTTAAACACTACTACATAATTATTGACATTATTGAGCTGTGACTTTTTGTTGCAAATCTTTCATATATCATCCTCACATCACATTGCTCAACAGTCTACGACTACAGCAATATAGGAAATTAAATCTATGACCTTTTGAGTATGGTACATTTGGTCGGTTCTTAGTTGTTTATATCGGTTTACAATGTTTTTACATAATCCTAATCCAATGTTATAATTGAGTTCTGTCTCATTAATTAGTTAGTAACTAGAGATCATTGGTTCTCGCTGAATCTTCAGTAAATTTATCTCAGCGACATTCAGTATGGAGGACATAGTTGTTATCTACTCAGATGAAAGTAAAACATCTTTATTACAATATCTTTTCAGATGACTTGTTGAATCTAAAAATAACTGAAATTTTATTTTTTCCTTAAACTATTGTTCAATGTTTGTAAATAGTGTAAATTGGTGGATAGTTGTGTTTAAATGTGTAATAGGTTTATGCAGTACAAGTGTTGGGAGTAATGTGTAAAGATGAAACTTATTTCTAACAAATTAAATTTTGTAGAAATGCTAAATTAGTTTTATTAATGGTAAATTCAGAACCTCGATTGATAACCCATATTCTTATCAATTCTTTGAAGGATTCCTAGTTTTATTACTGAAAAAGTATGTAAGTAGCTAAGTTAAAGTAGAAAAAGTTTTATACCACTTTGTCCCAGTTGACTACAAGTCCTAATCAAATTATAGCTGTTCAGTAGTAGTGTCGTAAAAAGAATATTGGTATCCCATGTGATTAAATTACTAGGTAGATAATTGGCATATAACTCAAAAGCAACTAATTTTATAAATCAGGTTTAAAGTCATATGTTTTTGGTGTCTTCATCCATTTTCATACATTGCAACTGCATCTCTGAGAGTAGGTTTCCATTACAATACCTCTATAACGCATCTTAGCCCCCAAATGCCCTGGTACGACCGAGAGTGGGGAGAGTCCTCTCTCCCTTTCGAAATGCTCTCATATAGCCACGCGTATATAACCCCTACCAGTGAAGTCCTACTCACTGGCTTCTCGTGGCGGGGGTGTTGTTTACAAAATTGAGAGGATGTCCGGCGCTTTAACTGGGTTGGTGGACACGGCGAGTCCACCGAGGGGAGTTGGAAAACCCTGATTCCAAACCAATGGTGCACATGGGCTCCAGTATCCTGATGGAACAAATGGTGTATGAATCAATCGTTGGTAACATGAAGAAAGTATTTGTCGAACACTGACTAAGTTAGAAAGCTATGAAGGGATACTTAACTGTCTTTGGTGTTTTTTTGTTGACTTGAATACGCTGTTATCAGTAAATCAGTTAGTTTAAGTTTTGTACGATCGATATGTCACATAAATCCGTACGTCCCCAAACCTCTCATTAGAACACTAGGAGGCCAGATGGTTGATCATACGTAGCTTTCATTAATAATATTCTTAATCCATGTCACTTTGTAAGTAAAATACGAGGTCACCATTCGTGAGTTTCAATAGTTACACCACCGAGTAATAGATTTCTGGTTGAAATTGGCGAACTATAGAAGATGTAGTAGACTTAGGACTATGTGATGATCCCATAAAATATATCTATATTCAGTCAGTTTGGGTTTTCCCATTGATATTTAGGATTGCAATCGGTCAGTCTCTTATTGGCATATGTGTTCTCTGTGTGTGGATTACATCAGTATTGCCTTAGTTCATAAGCATTATAAATATAGATGGTTGATGGCTATCAGTGAAATCCAGAATATGCGTTTTGTATTATTGATGTTCACTTCGGCACTAGAGCCCAATGACGTTCGATTCAAATTTAATAGCATTATCCACTTGGCTACTGAGTTTAGATAGCTACTGGTTTGAACAGTGAGGTGAAGTTCTAGTTCATTTATATTGGTTGTTTAGATCTTCCTATTGATGCTTAGGATTACGACTAATCAGTCTATTTTTCAATGTGTACTTCTTATGCGAGTTGTTTCGATAGTGCCATTACTTCAAGGGTCTTGGGTTGGAGTCCCAGAGCAAACGTTAACTCTGGGATGCAAGTACACCCGACTGATGAACCCTTACTAGGACGAAGCGTCTTGAATTCCACTGCTCGTAACCACCCATCTCCGCTCACAAACTCCTTAAAATAGTATATTAGTAATGGTTATAAATATCCAAAGTAATTCATCGAAAAATTATTTCTTACCACATTTATCTGACAATCCTAATAAGTGTTTTGTTGTCTTCTTTTTGTCATATGATTTTGACAAACCGTATTCTATATTTCTTGTGATGAATTCACTTGCTTTCTTAATTATTTGCTTTACGTTATCGAAGCCTTTACATTTTCTAAGTTGGTTTTCGTAAGATTCCTTTTTTGTAAGCACAACACTTATGCTAAATACTACACCACAATAGGAAGAAACTTGTTATTTTGTGGCTCTTCCATAAATAACCCCATAAAATCACTATAAATCTGTTAGTTCGTCAAAAATCTCTTCAATACAAAAAGCATGTAAAATAATCTTAATATCACTTTTAAGTACTCATCAGCTCAATTTCATAGAGCTTTTTTCCCCTAGATATATCTATTAATATATATATCTATTATTAATAAGCACACTATATCCAATAATTTTCTTTCTTTTTAGTCGGAAAATCTCGTGCTGTGGATGCATTATTTATTTTGACAGCCGATCTTCGCTTAATAGAATACGATTTATGTGTTAGTGCAGATGATACAGCTACAGTCGGTGGGAAATTATATCAGGTATAAAAAATCTTGTTTATTCGTTTAACTGTTACGTTCAACTTTTCGTAGATTTGCGTTGAGCCTGAAAATATCTTCTGTTCTTAAGAGTTGTGAGAAGCAATATATGAGATTATCTGGAAGAAAAAAGAACATGGGAAAAAGTTCGCCAACGGCTCAGTGAACATATAGAATGTACTTCCATTTAATAACGACAGCCCTTGACAACAATCAGAAATAACATGAGCGTGAGCAATCTGATAGTCGAAAATAGGAGTTGACAGAATATCGTTTCTAACACGTTACCTAACAGCTTATTTATTGGCTAGTTTTAATAAAATATTTAATATTAGTTAATTCTTATCGAAATGTCTTTTTCCTCTATCTGGTTTTATTTTTAATGTAAACTATTCACGCTGAACTGATTATTCACTTCTTAAATATGTTTCGGTATATTTATCTGTCTGTGTCAATAAACGTTCGATTTGATGACTGAAGTTGGACAGTAATTTAATAAATAAACCATCTGTTGAAGCTTAATTTACTGCATTCCTTCAACTAACTAAGTCCATTAGAAAAAGTCTTTGTTGCTATATAATTTTTCTATTATCATTACATTTCAATCAGTGTCTTGAATACTTAAAGAAAGAAATGGTATGATTCTTTTGAATCTTTGTTCCAGTAATTGGGTTAAAAGTTCAAGCATTTTCCCGCCTACTTCTATTTAATCAACTAACTGACTGTATTCATCCCAATTCATAACCATGTATGGGATCGTTGTATTATATTGATAATCCTGATTTTTTTCTAAATCGTAAACATTGAAATTCACTGTTAAATCAATTAGGCTCATGGTAACATAACAAACGTTTTGTAATAAAACTTTCTTAATACCGGGAATTGAACACTTATATATATCTTCGGCCGAAAATGGCATTAAATATATGCATATATAATAATGACTTGTTAATTTACTCACTGAACTTATAATGCGTGCACTTAAGGGCTTTAATTCTGTCTTAGTCACTAAGATTCGGTCTCCAAACTACGTCATAAAGCAAGTTAGATCTGAAAATATTACTAGTTCTATTCTCATTAGAGATCATTTTTTCGATTTTCCGGCTTCGATTATTTCTTATGTGTTGTGTTGCTATATATTTGTAAATTATGTGAGTGAATTCTATCCCAAACACTATAATGCTTCATAGTGAAAACACGCATTTTTCTTTCATAATTGGCTCAAAAGGAGACCTTTGCAAATATATCAGGAATATCTACGATTTCGAAGTTGGTTTGTGAACTAGTAAAGATTACAAGCAAATAGACTTAATCTATTATCCAAATATAGTTATCTTTTGTTTTTGGTTAAAAAGAAACACGTTAATCGAAGTGCACATACTGACCTTATTTGATTCGCAGTTCATTGTCCTTGAGATTCCACTTGTGTTACCACTTTCATCATAACGAAATAAACTCATATTGTTTGCGCACTCATTTAAAATTTACGTAAAACAGCATCCATTTCAAATACTTTTCAATCTATTTTTGTGCATAAGATTATTATTATTATTATGTCCTGGTATTTTTCCCTTCCTTTTTAGGATGGTTCAATTCGTCTAGATTGTGTACCTGTCGGTGAATGGAACTTACATACAGATGCTGTGTACCTGCCTCCATTTCCTAAGCAGCATCCGCTTATTTTAGCCTCTTCTACACTTCAAGCAAGATGTAAAACGAATAGGCTTAAATCGGACCACGCTTCTAATTTAAAGAGTAATACTGAATTATAAAAAGATTTATTTAGTAAATTAATTGATATTAAATATATGTTATCAAATTTAGCGTACTATATTTCTGTTTATTAAGAATTAATGATTCTTACTGTTAATGGTTTACTGCGTCGTATCTTAGATCTGTAAATTAATTATTTGTGTACTTAATTATCACTCGTTAATCTAAAGTATTTGGTAGTTTACTTAATATTTCTAGGTTGTATATGCTGTAAAAGCTATATATTATTAACCTCTGTATGATGTGGATGATCTGTAATTTACATATATCTTATATGTGCTTTATGAACTAAGTATTTGTCTAACAACAATATTAGATAAATTTCCAAACAAGACTTTTGAAATGACTTTTTAAGGAGTGTGAATATGTTTTGGTCGAGTTCGTAAAGAAGAACAAACCTTAGAGTGTCCAATACCTTTTTAGTTTAATTTTTGCTACATATTCTTCACCTTTGACGATTACAATAATTTACCGTGATTCTCAGAACTAAGTCATCACTGGTTACAGAATAATAAAGTGATATTGCTTGCTACTTAATTTACTACCAGCTATCCTAATTATATGTGTTTTGCCGAAAGTCATTAATGAACTGATTGGTTCAGTAAAAGTGATTTTCAACTGTAACAAATGGTTGGGAAGTATCGATTCCTCAAGATTACAAAATATCTTGTTGATGAATGCCGACCAACTAGCGCAGAGATCTAAGTTCATAGATTCTTATCATTTTTCTTCAGCCATCTTATTCTTAGTTATCACCTAATAGGTGTATATATATTTTGTTTCGATAATTCTTTTGAATTGGATGATTACATTATATACTGAAAGTGTAAAATGAGATACTTTTCATCATATACTTATTTCTATATAAGTCTTGTTTGCTTATATTTCACCGGTTTACCTAATTAACTTAAAACTATCTCATATTTCTGAAAACCACTATACTTATAATCACCCAGTGGTTTAGTTTGTTTTATGAAGCTTCTTTAATCTTACTCGGTACTTGGATTAGTTAAACAGTTATGTTCAGTGGTAAATTTAGAGACTTTTAACTTTTTAAAACCTAAAGCTTTGTTACGGTAGTGTTTGATAAGAGAATTTAGAGGAGATATTATCTTTGCATCTCTCGGGTTTATAATTAGGAACTTAGTGTTACTATGTTTCACGTTTTCATTTTTATTCCTCAGTGGATATCAGTTTTCGATGAATATTGTAAAAAACCCATAGAATATTCTTTTAGTCCAAAAACATGAAATCAAAGTTGATTTAAAATGGAAATTCTCTCTATATTTTGTCATCTAAACCTATATTATACATTAGTTAATTGTAATGTCGTTGAATGTATATGTTTATATGCACATGTATTTACTATTCAGAGATTCAATGCAAAACGTTTGCTCTTTCTAAAATCACATTTCTATAGTGGATGGTCGAAGTGAAATTTCATTAGAATCTGACAACAATCGGTCGTCCACATCTACAAATTACGAAAAAATCATATCAACGTTAAAATCTAGTTTACCTTCATCTAATAGCAGTCAAATGAAATCTGGATTGTTAGAAGTAAAAACAAGCATCGAAGATATTAATAATAATGATGATAATAAGCGAAAGAATAATAATGATGAAGATGATAATGCTGTCACTCCTGCTGGATGGACTGCTGAAGATGTTGCTTCTTACTGGTATAGTCAAGTTGAAATAACTACACATTTAGGACCTTTACGTCGTGTTTGGATGGGTCCACAGTTCACTTTTCATACTTATTCAAAACAAGTAAGCAGTTATTTTTTTAAAAATATTATGCTTTTATATTTAAAGGTAGAAAATATATTGCATTTCAGGAGATTAAAAATTTGTATCACAACATAAATTCAGTCTTCGTACTAAAAAGCGTATTATTCAAGCCTTTTTTAAAAACTAAACTGTAATGTTTTAATAGGATAAATACAAAATATGCTTTTCAGATAAACCACATACATTCATGCTGTTAACTATGACAAAGTTCCAGTGAATCAGGAATAACTCAGAATAACCCATTGCGATGAATGAAGACCAACTTTCACATAAAATTTGATTAATGACCGTTTGTGCACTCACAGTGTTATCTTTTCACCGTAAACATGCATACTGTTATGTGAATGTAAACCAGACATTGTCGACTATTTATCAAATAGTTGTATAAGCAACTATAAGTTTTAAACTTATGATTCCGTTCAATATGGTGGCTGTTAGAAGTTGGGTAATTTAATTTTTATGGACAGCTGTCGGTGTCTGCTAAGGGAGAAGGGGAGCATATAAATTTATTGCTTACTCAACTCTCAACACTGGGAAATCTGTTTCTTCTACATTTTCGTCAATGTTTCTTTTTTATTCAAAATATTAGTTTCTTTTTGTCTGCTAAGTTTCTGTTGTATCTTTTCATACTCCGCTAGCGATGGATCTATAAACATATTTCGTTCGTCACAGATGGCCCTTAGGCCACACGAACTCCGTCATTCTTAAACCATTCAAAACACTAAAGACTTAAATGAGTGGTTCGCAGTACATTTATGTATTTATATACCATATGTAATTACATTAATAACACACAAGTTCACAACTTATCACAATTCAAAGATAATCAGAAGTACATAACTTGAATATTTCTGATACAAAACCTGAGTAGTAAATTTATAGTTAATTAACTGTAGTTGATGGAAAGTAAAAAAAAATGGCTAATTTAATCAACCAAAAGACAAGTTATAATGTAAACTAATTTTTAAAAAAAAGATTTCAGAATAATTGTTTTAGTAATTACTTGATCAAAAAATTCGCAAACTAATGGACTAAAAAAATACTCACTTTTCGAATTGGTCTTTTCCTCACAACCTCCCATTAGTTGTAATTATCTGTGTTGTTTTTGAATGTATTAAGTCACTATCGTTTTTCTTTAGGTTTAAAATAGATTTACTTAGTTAATTACTCAGTTTATTTACAGCTAAAAATTTCTTTGAGCCTCTTTCATTTCATTGTCTAATAATATTGCTATTTCAAATGTAGCAAACTTAAGGAATATGTGAGAGCTTAGTACGCGTCATTCCTACACAGAAAGATATTATGACTGTTTTTCTTTGAAAAATCCACCAAAAAGCGTATAAACCTTTTGACGGATATTCAGTTATGATTCTGTAGGATGAATAAAGTTAAATGTTGATTTGTTGCGTACCATACTAAATAAGAATGTGTTATCGATTGTATACTAAGGAGATAAATAAATTGAGCAGACTACTTATAATAGGTAGTAACTAACTACTAACTCATTTTTCGTACACTTTAACATAAATTTAATGACTTGTACTTCTAAGCTTAATTAAAAGGTTTTTACGTTAATGAAACCATTAATGCTCCAAAGAGCTTGGTTTAGTTTAATTTGCTTATTTATTTATTCGCTGAAGAAAGTGGCTTACACTGATTTAGGAAACGATAAAAAATTTTAATTTTTCTACTCATTAGGATATTAACAATATATCATTACTTTTTTAATTACCAATCTATCCAATACTCATTTCATTTGCAATTATCAACTCAAACCTTAGTAATCATACTTGCACTAGTGTTGCAATTTTTTTGAAATAAAATGATTAAGGATACTAAAAACCTCTTAGTGATAAGTATATCTCTTTAAAAAGCAATAACTCAAAGCTCCCTACATTTTATTTTTAAATAATTCGTATTCAAAAAGAAATCAATTTATGGGTGAGTTTTAACTAACAGTTAATCCATCACATATGAAACTGTAGCCATGAAAATCTCCGTAAGTTTTCAAAATATCTTCAATGTCTGTTGGTTTATTGCTCAGTCAGTCAGTTAAAACGTAAAAATTCGTAAGTAAGTACATCAGTTCAAGTTGCTATATCACATTAGCACAGAGATGTAGTTGTCGATTCAAATCCCATAGTGGTAGAGATAGTAAGAGTATAAGCAGCAATTGGAAAGATTAGGGTTTGAAGATGTTATTCAAGGAGTATAATCCAGTGAAATAAATTTAGAAAGAGAAGAAAGCGACATGAAGAATTCAGAAGACTGGAATTTCGGAGAACACAAAGAGTGGATGCACCTCCGCAATTGCAAACGCTTTTGAGCCATGTCATTCAAGGTCTCTAACCATCGGTTGCTATCATCTCGCGAATCCCAATCAGGTAGTCTACACCTACCAACGTGGCTCAGTCCACTTGTTAGCGACTTCATGGATTTGTGCCACGTTTTGGTCTGGCTGCCCCTAGCTTTCTTACAACCTACTCCTACACCATAAAGCATTGCACGTCGGGGCAGTCAGTGGTTGGGCATACGTAACACATGTCCCAGCCATCTCAACTGATGAAATTTCACTACTTCATCAATCGATTTTCCATCCTTACCTAGTACCCGTTTCCTAACAACTGCATTACTTACCTGGTGGTCCCAGGATATACGAGCAATGCTTCGAAGACACCTATGATCGAATACTAGCAGTCTACGAATATCCTCTACTCTTATCGGCCATGTTTCACTGCCATAAAGTAGGACGGAGCGAACTGCTGCACAGTAAACCCGTCCTTTAGTTGCTAGGCGGATATCTCGCCTATGCCATAAATGACGCAAGTTGGCGAAAGCTAGACGAGCCTTCTGTATCCGTGCTGAGGTTTTGTCCCACACCAGACCACAAAGGCTGGTGAGACTCCCAAGATAAGTGAAGCGGTCGACACGCTCAACTACTTCACTCCCCATATAAGAACTCTCGTCTAAATTAGAGCGAATAGTTTCACAGTATTTATACTTCACTCCCTATCATTAGTTCAGGTGCCAATGCAACCCAATATTAAAGTAACATTTTGCATTTTGAGGGAAAGAATGGCATCCTGAACATGCCTGCATTGTTGTTTACATTGGTCAGAAGACTGCGTTTTGTCAGCGTCTTGTGGCGGAGTGGATGCCTTGTTAACGTATAACGTGATAAGGCCGCCAATCAGCGAGCAGCGAACCATCGATTGGAACACTGACACATGAAAACCGTACGAGCAGTCTAGAGTGCTTATCGCTCCTGCTTCTGCCTTGCCCAGCCAGTTAAGTTCAGAACATCCTCTGCAGTATGATTCATATTTCAAATAATCTGAGTTTATATATATCAATCAAACAGACCACATCGTACCATAAAATAGAAAATAACATTTGTACAAGATTTAGCCAAATGTGGCTGTGAATAAGGGGAACAGTAATCCATAGACTGGATGTAATTCATGAATTGTAAATCGTATAACGTTAGTTTTTATTTCAAAATCAAGCTTATCTTAAGGGGATACGAATATGAATAGTTTTGTTATTTAGAAATTATACGATAAAATATATATGCATAATATTGGTTCATAAATAGATCTCAAAGTTACTATTCATCATCGTTATCGGGGCATAACAATTTCGGATGCTTTTCGAATCATTACATTATTATTTAATTAAACAGTTCACGTTTTATATATTGATAATCAAATTCATTATCAGATAATCCATTTCATTTTGTTTATATTAACAAAATTTCTGGTAAAAACAAACCAATGTTTATCAGAGATTCATGCTGTTTTTCAGAATATATATTTATGCAATGTATACACTTTTCAGATCGATTATGAAGAGCTATAGTTCTGATAATGGGTCACTTCATGCTCACATAGTATACTCAACCTACCATATTAAGCAGTAGCAGTGTGATGTAGGTCAGGTGTTATTGATAAGACAATTTTACATTGAAGGTTGTACCATTCACTTATGTATGTAGATATATGTTCATTCGACAGTCGATTCAAGGTCATTAGAATTAGAATTAACGAAAAGAAATGTTATCCTGACCAAAGAGAGTCAAGCTAGCCAGCGATTCTTTTAATAAGATTTATAATTATTTCTTATTAGCAATCGTTTTATTTTATACGAATATTCATCAAGATTAGAACGAATAGTTTGACAATAATTGGGCGCCGAGTATAGAGAATTCATTATATTTGAAATAGTCTCAGCGATTGAAATTTAAATAATTCCAACGTTTCGTCCAGCTAACTTGTCTGGACTTCTTCAGGGAAATAATCAAAATCAGAAACATCAAAGAAATATATAGTGTTTTTACAATCATATCAAAATATCTACTACTTTTTAATCCAATCATATTTGGATGTCGAGGTTTTTGTAAACAGGATAATATGAGTCAGTTGAATGAGAATCAAGTGAAAAGTTCAACGGTGTGAATTAAAGGAGACTGCATAAATTGTGTGTATGTATGTATGTGTAAGATGAGTTATTAATGAATGATATTCAGTGTTGAAATGTTTCTATGTGAAGTAAAATAGGAATAAACGTGCAAAATGAAGGTTGAAAAGTTTTTCTCCTTTCTGAATCATCGAAGTTGCAAATAAAATGAGAATCATCAAGTACATAAATTGTAATGTTAAACATAACTCATATTGATTTCAGTCATAATAACGATTCATGTGAAGTAAACAGGTTGAATAAAAGAAAAGGTCAAATTACTTGCTGAAGAATATTTGCCAAGTGGTAGCTAGCTGAATACCATCCTTTCTGTTTAGGCTGTTCTTATTCGCCCATATATACAGCGCTTCTGCTGTCAATCTTTCTTTGTGAGTGTTGAAACCTTTCTGAAGTATTTTGGCCCCTTCAAAATTAATCATGTGTCCCGTTTCCAACGCATGTAACGCTATTGCAGACTTATTCTCAAGTTTCTTTAAGTCAACCGAGGTTTTGGGAACGTTTTTTAAACACTGTTTGTGTTCCTTCAACCTTACCTTCAATTGTCTGGATGTTTCTCCAATATAAGCCGCATTACAATCATGACAATTGATCTCATAGACAATATTTTGTTGTTCTTCCTTTGGTAACCTATCCTTAACCTTTACCAATGACGATCTTATAGTGTCACATGTTCTAAAATACACTCTTATATCATGTTTGTTTAAAATCCGTTTGATTTCCTCCGATGTTTCGCTACGGTATGGTATGACTACAGTGGACTTCCAATCTTTCTGTACATGTTGCAGTTTAGCTTTTCTTTCCTTTCTAACAATCTTCTTTAAAAACTCTTTTGGGTAGTTGTTATCCCTAAGTGTAGCTAAAATCCTATTCAATTCAAATTGTTGGTCTTCTTCATCTGTAACAAGCTTCAGACTTCTGTTAATTAAATTTTTAACAACTGTGACTTTCGTACATAAAGCATGCGCCGAATCAAAATCTAAGTATCTATCTGAATGTGTTGATTTTTTGAAAACATTTATTTTCAACTTCCTATTATTAAGTCTTCGTTCAACCATACAGTCGAGAAATGCCAGTTTGTGGTCATCAGACTCTATTTCCTTCGTTAGATTAATTTGTTCCGAAATGTTGTTCACATTTGTAAACAATTCTTCCAAATAGTCCTGTTTAATGATAACAAAAATGTCATCTACATACCGTAGCCAGACCTTTGGTGGACAAACACTTCTTGCGATTGCACTAGTTTCGAGTGAATGCATGAATAAATTCGCAACAATCGGAGAAACTGGTGAACCCATAGCTATACCTTCTTTTTGTCTGTATAGATCTCGAAATATGAATAAAGTGGACCTTAAACATAGTTCCAAACACTTGATAAACTCAGACGGATCTAACGGGCAACGTAAATGTAAATCCAAATCAGATTCTAAACAAGCATAAATAATATCCAACGCTCTGTTGATAGGTACGTTAGTAAATAAGGAAGAAACATCAAAACTTGCCATTACTTCTTCTTCTTCTATGTCGATGGTATCAATAATATTTTTAAATTCCATAGAGTTTTTAATTCCATGATTAATCAATTTCTCATACGGTTTTAGTATTCTAGCTAAGTATTTCGCTAGGTTGTAAGTCGGTGAATTTGTGAAATCGACCACTGGTCTTAGTGGAGTACTATCCTTGTGAATCTTCGGGAGTCCATAGAATCGACAAGGGTTACAACTTTTTGGATTTAGCATAAACCATAAAGGCGTTCCGAGCTTGACCTTTAACGAATGTAAGATTTTACTTGTTTCCGCCTTAAGTTTATTGAGCGTAGTTCTGCTTTTTTCAACTTTGATTAGTTCATATGGTCCCTATTGTAGATGTTCCTTTGCTTTTTTCTCGTAGTCCAATTTGTTCATGATGACTGTAGTGTTACCTTTATCTGCTTTTGTAATGATAATTGTCTTATCATTTCTTAGTTGCTTTAATGCATGCAACTCATTTTTAGTCATATTAGATTTTTGTGATTTTTGACGTAATAACACGGACATTATCTTATTCCTCAATTCATTCGCTGTTTCATTAGGAAGTATGTTCAATGTTGGTTCGATTGGTGGTATAATATTGAAAGACGATAAATGTGGTCTATTTATATTGAAATTGAGACCCTTTTTAAGTAATGAAATTTCATGGGAGTTGAGAATTCTATCAGATAAATTAACTAACACTTTGTTAATATCTACTGTGTTCGATTTATCTCTAGTTTGTTTCACTTTGCTGTTTGACGCATGTTTCAACATTTTTTCGAACTTTCTAATCTGTCGTAGTTTTGATGATTGATGATAAAACTGTTCTCTGAGTTTGAAAAATTCATTTATATTAGATCTTATTTCTTTCGGTGTGATAAATGACAGAATTTCATCGATATTCTTTACCCTTGAACGTAGTGACTCCAAATTCATAGTGGCTATGTGAATACGTTCCCTGATAAAAGTTCTAGTGGCTGTGATCGCCGCTTTGATTGAACGAATAGATTTGTCACATATAATGAATCGTTTTATTTGTTAGTCGTATATGTTAAATACTGGAAAGACATTTTATTTTTGACATTTAACACTCTTTATGACGGTTGTCTATTGTTATTCATATGTTTTCAAATCAAACCTTAAATAACTCGGAACCATTTTCTTGAAAAAGAAAACATCACCAGAATAGGATTTAGTTTTAATAGATATGGTTTCGGGGGCCTTTTTAGTCATGATTTTTTCGTTTACAGAGTTGGCTGTAGTAAACTCTGAAATGCAATCCCCCATCATATATATATATATATATACTCGTTTACCTTTGTTAATGTTAATACTAAAGCTGATGATCAGGATAATTAGATTTCATGTTTAGATTTGGTTGATATTAAAATGTGATTCTCTTGAATCAGACAAACTTCCTCAGTTGAACTGATGAAAATACAAGATTAACAACTATGATATATTGTTCATAATCTTTAAGTAATGAATTTATGCTGCTTTTATCTTAAACCTAATAGATATCAAAGTGTTTATACTTGCCTAGTGATCTTTTGAAATCACTTGAATTCAAATGATGACTATAATTACTTTACTATTACTACTACTGTAGTGAACAGAACACGACTGGGGATAATCGAATGTATTTAAGCAAAGATTACAGACTATCTCAGTAAATACTGATAACCAAACAATGAACAGTCAATTTGCAAATTAACAAGCAATTGTTTCAACCTTCACTGTTTCTTTTCTTATTCCATTGCTCATGCATTTTCCAGACGATTGCGCTTCATTTCAGTTCTTTGCTCATCGGTCTACTGCCAAAATACATTCTATGCCTGACCCACACCATATACTACTTATATAGATATAAGTAGACAACACCACACTACTACTGCTTACCGATATGCTAAAATACCAAACATTTTCAGTGAGGGTATTATTTATTTACGACTTTCTATCAATACTTAAATGACCGTGAAAATATCCACCTACTTACTAAGGCTAATTGAGGGTTATAAATTAGTGTGAGGAATTATGATTAACATTTACAGTTGGACGTTAGGGCTAGGAATTAGAGTTGGAGTTTTCATCACGAACTGACATCAAATATAATGCCAAAATGCTATTTAGGCAAATGAATTGATGAATCTAGCGCTAAAACCCAAGACCTACCATCTTTAGTCTGATTGACTCTTCTATAGATTTTGGTCTCCCCCTCCCGAGAAACTTTTAATCCATGTTATTGATATTTGATTTTGTTTCACTATGAATCTGATTTATTTTAAATGGTTTTTTTAAGATTGCCTAGTTTCTTATCACGTAAAGTACTTGCAAGATGAATAGCTACTTGTGGGCTGAAGTTTTACTGTTTGTCTTATAGTCATCAAATACATCTGTTAATATTTGTAACAAGAAACATATCTCCTTTGCAACTGTGATTTCATTTCTTCAGATCATTTGTGATATAACAGATGATTAAAATATTTTTTTCTCTCACACGTATTACGATAATGAGACTAATCACATTATATCAGAACCAGGATTCACGATCCAAAATAGAGAACCAGATTATTCAATACAAGTACAAGTAGTCACACTCAGTCCAGAGCAGAAATCAATGAAATGAAATCACATATTTAATAGTCAGTTAGCTGTTTCTATTTTGTCCACGTTCAACGACCAATCATATTTTACTTTCATTACCACATATCAGTCTGCATATGCAATACGCCTGTGCATTTCATTTGTGGTGATCAATTTCTTGCGTTATAGTGCGATGTAACCATTTTAGTCAATTCTATATTTTTTATTATTTTTAGTTCCCAATGTCATCTGTATCTTAGATATTTACCATTGCTGTTCATATATATTTGGTGCATTTTTGAACATTCCAAATGTACCTATCTTGGTTGCCAGGATCGCTCTACTAACAACTCCTATCTACCTATCGATTTGAAGTTGCCTTCAACTTTACAAACAAACTTTCACAGTCATCTAAAAGTTATGAGGAACAATTATTTTAACATAGTGGTGGTGTCTGTATTATCGCATTAATTTGTTTAGTCTTGTGTATAATATTTTGTTCAACTTGTAAATTATGTACAATTCACATCAATCTCAATTCAGGTTCAATATTTGTTTTCATTTATTTACTTTTTGCAACTCGTTATCTTCATGTTATTTTTAGTTTTGTTTATCTGTATATAATTGTTATCTAACTCAATTCTTTGTTCTCAATGCAACAATTAATTGGTTCAATATAACTAATATATGAAGGTGTATAAATCAAGACATTTGGTTATCTGTAATTGAGTCTCTTATGTTTTTTTCAATGATTGATTTTTTTTCTAGATCATGTATCTATTTTTTGTGGAGCGTATATTTTATTAACCTTTTTCTAATGGTGGCAATTTACCAGTCATTGTTCTTTTTCTTTAATATCATGTGTTTCAGCGCGATTGGGGTGGTTGTGATTTACGGTTTTCATCATTCAATAGTTGTGGTTCTTCAAATAATAATAATATATCTAGTACCACACAAATTGGCTCTACTGCAGGAAACCTAACAACAGCATTACATCCTACTCTTTTAGAAGCATTCACATTAAATGCACCATTTGTATTGCCGCCTTTAATAGATATGACTAGTGAGTTATTAATTAAAGATCGATATCCTGCCACATTCATACCATCATCACATGGTTCCAATAGTAGTTTAAATATGATTCCATATCAAGGTTCTTCAACCTCTTCTACTTCCTCTGTTCATGCTTTTATTCATCCACATCCTCAACATCATCCAAATATCGCTTTGACTGCAATTAATCGTAATGCCACTTCATCCAAAACAATTATGTTACCAAGACTACCATCAGGTTTATTATTGGATTCACATGCTAGTTTCAATAGTGCACAGTTAAGATGGCGTAATTCGTCAGGTGAACCAACCCGTCCACTTAGTATTGCTGGTGGTATTGGACCAAGCGGTGAGACGATTGTAATTGAAGGTGGTAAGTTAATTGATAAATTGTTATGATAATTTTTATTCTTTTCGATCATTCACTTTGATATTAGATGTTTGCAGTTGACCAACATAGAATCAAGATTAATAAACTTTTGATGAAAATCCTTTTTACTTTGGCATTCGAACATTCTAATTGAGCATCTCATTCAGAGTCTTTATTAACAAACTCTTTCGGACTTAATTACAAAAATGCGTTATATTGATGTTAAGTGGTGACAAGTTTATAAGGTTATTTACTTGCTGAGTGATTGTTAGTAGATACCAAAAAGCAGCTAATATTGCGTAATAACTTGCTAAATAGTGTTAAATATACTCCATCCGCCTGTCATCTGGAACTCATCCATTTTGTTCATGTGTCCAACTTCATCACTCATTTGGGATCTGTTACTTTTATCTCCCAATTGCAATTCATTGATGTAACTTCAATTTCTTATAGCTGACTCTACTTCAAGCGTAGATTTTACGCCTTTCGTCATGTTCAGAGGCTTTTCCAGTCATTGAAAAAGTATTGACCTAGAAATTTAGTAGATTTCAGTTGAATTATTTGCTTTTTTTCATAGCTAAGCTATTTTTGAATCCACTCCTTAGATTCAATTACTGAACGATCACTATCGGTTTATGTAAGTTGCTTTGGTTTCCAGTTGTTTATATTGGAGAATTCCCATAGAGAAAGTATACCAGCTAGAATCTAGCTTTGTAATATTCTATATGTGTCTGTTCTTATTGTACCGTTTTTGAAGTAATCGTTACAATTTTCGCAGTTAACTTTATAACCCATGTATGTTACTTTCTTTTGGTATTTCAATTTGATTATTCAGATTTTGTAAGTAATCTGTGTAATAATAATAATCTTCATATTAGTAAGGTAAGGTGAATTCACGTCATTAGTTAAGTACAGTTACGTATATTAGACTCTACATTACGTATTGTATGAAAATGATAGATATTAGTTGTTTATCTGAAACAAAGTGAATAGACTTAAATTCAAGTCCGTTAATACTTAAATCATTGGACAAAAAATTGCTTAATTAATTTGGAAGACATTATCTAATTTCTTTGCTGTTCTGGTCTCATCATTTATAAGTTGTTAACAGTAATTTTTAATTCATTTTGTATTGTTTATTTGAATCTTCCCATTGATGTTTAGGACTGGCAATTGATTAGTCTCTTATTGGTATATGTGAGCCCCCAAACGCCCTGGTATGGCCGACAGTGCGGAGAGTCCGCTCTCCCTCTCGAAATGCTCTCACACGGCTACGCGTATACAGCCTTTACCGGAGATGTCCTACTCACTGCCTTCTCGTGGCGGGGGTGTTGTTTACGAAGTCGAGAGGACGAAAAGCGAATGTCCAGTGCTTTAACTGGGTTTCTGAACACGGAAGGCCCACCTAGGGGAGTTGGAAAACCAAGACTCTAAATCACTGGTGCTCATGGGCTTCAGGATCCCAGTGGAACAAATGGCGTATGAACCAATTGTTGGTCACCGGCTACTATGGGACTGCATCTCCTTACGTTGCTCCACTGACTTGTGGATTAGAACTCTAGATCGAATGCTTAATGAGTGGTCTCAACCTTTAGACTACTGAACTAAAATCCAGTGGTGTCTGTATATAACTTCAGTCAAAAACATTATTTGACCGTCTTTTATGGTCTTCAGTGGGTAACTGCCTCACTCCTGACACGTTCAGTAGATGTCTAACTTAGGTTGGTTCATGATATCAGTAAATCCTAATCGTTATTTTTTGGGATGGAAAGGGTGTTTATTAATTGTACTTTATAGCTATATAACTGAAAGTTGGTTGATTTTTCCATAATTAGTTATCAGTCGTAATGCATATTTGTCATACTATCTGTTGTTGTTTTCTATTCCTACTTTGGAAAAGGGAGTTATCAAGACTCAAGTTTGGGTAGTTCTTTATCTAGTTTAGTTGGTCGCGGTACGGATGATTTGGCTCAGTCGATTGCTGAAGCTATACAAGTAGGTATTTTATCGTTTTCTTGATTGTTATTAAAATTCATTTGTTCATTTTTGTTGTGTTTGAATTAAAACTAGAAAGAAAGAACAATTTTCAGCTTTAGTTACGGCTGATATATATTACACAAGGTTTTCATGATATCAGTTATTAATAAATTGTTAATTAGATATTAGTTGTAGGAGTTCCCAAAATATTCCTATTCAACGTAACGTCCCTAGAAACCAAGAGGCTCCAGGAGACGTTTTATCTAATCAGTGTTGAATAAAATCGTCTCAGAAACACGCCATAAATTCAGCATTACTTAAACTGTTTTGGTTGAATGTTAACCTGTACTGCCATTATTTAGTATTGTTCCATAAATTTCTAGTGTAACTATAAATATCCTATACACAGTCAGTCAGCTACAACGTAGGACCAGGTACACCTATGCATCGGTCCAAGTTGTCATACCTCATTAGCATAACAAGATGAACACCGAATTCATTCTAGGGCTTCAGAAAACGGGGCCTGCTAGCCGACTTGACATAGGGTGCATACGTTGAAGGCTCCAATGATTAGTTTGGGGCGAGGTTCCAGTAGACCTGGGACAGTGATCCGTGCATTGGGATCGTTGACCATGATGACACTTGAGGAGCAAGTCGAAAAACGAAGTTTAGAGTTGAAAGTCGACATGAGAGGAATAGTAAGAGTTGAAGAGGGAGGTTGATCATGAATACAGTGATCTTGAGTGCTGTTTGAGGTATTGGTGTATTTATCACTTCCTGGCTGCCCACACCATGGAAGGGTTCTTCTACAGTTTCTTGGAAATGCAATTAGGTTAAGAGTGGTCTCAGCGACCTGAGAGCGTGACCACATTGTCCAAGGAACAAATACCTGAGGTCCGTCACACAGGGTGTTTTTGTGAGTAATTTTTGTGTTAGCTCCGTACTTGTTAGGACCTTACCACCGGAGACGGATATCCGTGGGATAAAACAAGATGTGCATTTTTAAGGCCGACCTATTCTAACCCAACACTTCCTTGTTGGAAGGTAGCATCGCTGTTACGTTGGTTGTCTGAAGGAAACGCGTTACTGCAGTCACACCTCTGTACAGTCAGCAGTACGACTTCGGACCTTGGTTTTGCTGCTTGTAGTCTTACCGCTCTTCAACCAACCTGTCTGTTAGGGTAGGACGTTAACGAGCGATTATTCAAGCTAGTATAGTTCGGTTGGGTCATCACGATAGGCAGGCCTGACCGCCACGTCAAGGTACCAGCAACGGTCGAGTCCCTGTATATAAGTCAACCTTGGAGTAATACTTTTACCTACAATTCGTGTTACGTTTTAATTTACTGTTGGCCTGAACAGTCTAATTGTCTATTATATTTGTGTGAAGCACTTAGATGTTTGCAGTTGCTTTACTCCATGTTTTTCATGGTTACTCAAATAGGACCGTGTACCTGTGAATTATATGGTTCTTGGGGAATATTTGGACCGAAGTATTGAAATCAACTTTATGAGGTTTTGCAACTCGAAACTCTTCATACTGTAGTGTGAACACCTTTAACCGTTAGTAATGTCCATCATTATGATCGGGTTAGTTGACTCTACTAGTCAGAGTTTTTGGTACAGTTTGAGGGACTATGTCTCAAGATAATCAACAAATAATTAGTGAATTCGTTGTAGGGGGTAGGAACAATTCCAATAATTTTCTTATCTGACACAATAACACCAATAACGAAAGTTACATACGTAACAGGAGGTTTGTAATTCTGTTTAAAAAGAAAATTTCAGCAGTTATGAATATTCAGATCCGTTGTTAAGCACAACATTGAGGTTTAAAACTCTTCAGCTGCTTTTATTTCACCAGGTATATAGTCCTTATGTTTTTGTCCAAAAAACTGTACAGCTGAATTGATGATTCAGTGCTTTTTTAATGCTAAAAACACTCCAATATCAAGTCGTTCTTAGTCCTGATAAAATTCTGTCAGTCAAGTTGAGATACATGACACTAATGACCACTCAATCATCAATCAACCTAAAGTACATCTCATTCCTATAAGAGGTCAGTCTCAGTCCGAATACCTCAATAGTAACGTCTCTAACTGTAAAGCTAGGTGACACAGAATTTAATCCTCCAGAGAACATCAATCCCCTTAGTAGTATAGATATATGTTACTGACGAGTGCATATATATATATATATATATATATATATACAATGTATATGTGATTACTTACTTACAACTTTTTACATCTCAGTTCATTGGAACAGTTACTATTTTAAAGTTGAATACGTTTAATATCTTATTTTCTCTGCCTATTGTTAGTTTCATTGCACATTATTTTAAAGTATCAGCAGCTTAAACTAAGTCGATTAGTAAATAAGGTAGAATTCTCGTTTTTTTCTTTCCATATTGATCTACTTAATGGACTAATGGGAAAGAATGATTTAATAATTTTAACGAGAGGATGGTAGCAATTGTGTATACTTATGTCTTAAATATGGATTAGTTTTATCAAAAGTAGGTCACTCATAAACAACCGGTTAATTTTCAAATTTCGATTAGCTGTTTATTTTGGGGGACTTTTTCAACCCCAAGTTGTTTCGTATTTCTTGTTGTTGTTATATTTCAGGATGAGGAAACTAACTGGAATGCAGATAAAAGCTCTACCAACTTACCACAATTGTCAACTGTTAACAGTAATCGTGGTGTATGGCAGTTCAGTGTTAAATCTACTACCATCTCACCGGGTTCAACTAATATTAGTGGAGGTAGCGGTCCCGGATTATTTCGACTGTATGGTACTGGTAATATTCCAGTTCACTCTGTATTAACAGAAGCTGATTTCCCCAGTCAAGATACCTCACCATCATCAGATCTGGATAACTTTTCATCAAAACATGAATTGTTAGACAATTCACCAATTAAAATGAACAAAGATTCTAAAAAAAATAAGACGAAGAATAACACAAACAATATTTATCAAAATGAAAATTTATCATCAAACGTTAATCTATTAACAAATAAAAGCGTTAAACGGAAACATGGTAAAAAAAGGTCAAAAATGAAACGTCATTCTGCTGTCATTAGTGATGAGTTCACCGCTCCAACTTCAGCAATAACAAATCTTTATCCATCGGGTTATGAAAGTTTAAGCGATTCACCAATAATTCAAAATTTGTATTATAATTCTTCAGATTTATCAACATTTTCATTACCAGGTGATTTACAAGTCAATACAACATATGACAGTGATAATATGATGATGATGGCTAGTAGTCTATCCAATCTTCGTTGTAATCAAAATTCATTGATCGACAATGAGAAGAATACTAAGTTAAGTATGGAAACATTTCAAATTGAAGAGAATTCACAAAATAAATTGGAGTATCCTAACGAAATAAAAAATTTCAATGCTGTTAGTGATGATGAAAATAATAAAAGTTGCTAGACAAAAAACTGGACACACTGATGAAAGCAATAGATAGAATTATCAACCAAACTATTTATTGTGTACAAAACATCTCCTTACGCAATATTTAATTCGTAATAATTATTATTCATGAAGTTCTCTATCAATGAATCTTATGGTATGTTGTTTTTAAAGTTGATTAGTTCTAGTGTTATTATTTTATGATAGGTGGTTTGAAATCATCGATCTTTAAACATGTGCCTTTTTTTCTCGACTTATGAATCTAGTTCTAAGACAAGTTGTCAATAGTTTTTATTTGAAGAATTATGCTTAATGCACATGGAGAAGTCGAATATGTATCTAACATAGGATAAATGTAGGTATCATTACCAAGATTTGAACTTGATAATTTCTAATAAATTGAACATTGGGTAGATTTTTATAAATAAATATATTTGTAGTATCCCAATGAATATAAAAATTAAATTTTCTGATGTTTCATGAGTCAGCGTAAGCCACTTCTTCAGAGAATAAGTAAGCAAACCAAAATTAACCCAAGTTTAAATAGTACAACGGAGGAACACAAGACTATTAATTTTTTTACTCATTGGGATATTACAAATATATTGATTTATTTATAACATACGATCATAGTGTAGAATGTATTCATCCCTAACTTTGAAATGCTGGTTTCAATCGAGAAGGATACAAGAATGGAAAAAAATATGTGTGGGAGAATTAAATAATAATGATTATAGCAACAAAAACAATAGTAGAAACCATTTAAAATACACTTATGATAAATTTCATATCTCTTAAATACATCTCACAATATTTTTAAAGAACACACAAGTTGCAGCAGTATTACTAGTGATTTCTTGGACCTTATCTGAGGAGTTGTGTTGAAGTGACAGAAACTAAACCTCAATAAATATAACGTTTGTTCTATGGTGGTTTTATTTAAATGTCTTTCTTTTTATTCCAGTCAGTCCGACTTTTAGGAAGTAGTTCTTAGTATGGTGTTAAAACAGTGTGTCTAAGTCGTGTTCAAACTGTTTAAGATGATGTTACAATATCTTATTACTGATTGAACAGCGATCTCCAATATACTTAAACACACGGTATGTATAGCAAGTACACTAAATCATTCAGTGATAACAAAAATACGAAATAGAACTGTCGAATATTGCCATTCCTGAGAAATGTACAGATCTATTTGGATCATAGTAATTTAAAATCGATATTTTATTAATAGACATGTGTGATAACGCTAAAGTTAATTGGGATTGGGATAAAGTGTAACGGTTTTTAATATAAGACAATCAGCACCACCTAACTAACATTACTTAGCAACTTTGAGTAGATTAACCCGGTTCATATGAAGGTATTGACTAGGACTCTAACGAGAAAAACTTTGAACGTGTGTGGATATATGTGGGAAAATGCTAAGAAGGGTTTAAAAAATCTTGTCAATCTGGAAGTTCTTAAACTAACGATCTAAAATCATTAGATTTCATATCAAATCAAGGAACTGATGAAGTTATCACTTTACACTTACAATTTTGAAGTATTTACAACAAAACTACTGATCAAAATTATCATGTTCATCATTCACTAAAATACAACATAGAACGGTTCTTCAACAACTCAATAAATTCCTCCAAGCAAAATAAGTACTAGAAAAACACAAAAAGTTATCAGTAGTTTATTTCTTTTTAATAAATAAAATTTAGTCATAAATGATCACTTTGTTTTAAAACATTTATTTTATGAGAAATGGTAAACTTTCGGAACTGCTTCACAAAATCTATCGTTATGTAAGTATTTATATAGAACATTTGAAAATAAACACATCTCATGAAGCGGTATGATTACGGGTAAGCAAGTTACACGAGTTTAACTTATTGTAATCAAATAAAATTATTTACTGGTTAAATAGAGTTGGGCTTGGATTAACTCATCTAAGCAACAAATGTGTAATGTAGCTTGCCATTTCTAACATCATATGCTGAATTGATACATATATTGAAAATAAGAGAATGTAAGTAAAAATGTTATTGATCAACAATGAATGCATTTGTGCTATTCAATAAAATGTAATATGAATATAATAGTCACCTCACTTGTATTCTTTTACAAAGTTGTTATTGACGGAACTTTTTTCCATTACGTTTTTCTCTAGATGGAATAACTGGATAATATAACACCCATCTGCATAGGGTAGATGATTTTTGTTCTAAAATAAAATCCTACCCTCTCCTATTGAATCATTATGAATCATAACAACTACACGTCCGACTAATATTTCATTTATTCAAATCTATGTTTATGTACCCAGGTGCTATTTTTCTACTATTTAGATATCATGCCTCTTTTTCAAATTTAGGATTTCATTTTTATCCGCTTCCTCCAGTTTACATTCATTCTACAATAAAACATTTCGAAATAAAAAAGAGATAAACAAATTTCTGTTCATTTTAAAGTCATTTTTTTGTTCAGTGGTTCCTTTTTTTATTGTTTCGCTCCTATTAACCAACCTATTAACATAATATATAGGCAAAATACTTCTTGATTATGACTAACTCTACCGCTGTTTGTTTGTTTCTTCGAATTACTTTTTTTCCACCATATTAACAAAACAACACACTCACCATACTGATAATCTTTATTTTGTTTTGCTAACTTTTGTTTGCCATTTTTCTGTCATTTGTGTGCGCATGTCGGTATTATTCTTCATCGTTTTTTGTCTCAGGTTACGATTAAAATGTGTAACCTGATATTCCCTCTTTCTCTTCGTATGCACACAAATATACTTATCTATGAAATACGTAATAGACAAAATACATTCGAAAGTGTAATTAATATTTCTTAAACGTTTTTCCCCACTCTTTTATTTCTTTTGTGCGCCAGAATATCTGTTTTACTACATTTTGAGGTTTCTTTTAAAGTATAAAAAGAGATTGATAATAATACCATTGTCATTCTAGCAAATATATAAGAGACATACAATAACAAGTCTCATTTTTAGTTAAGTATTTTATTTGAATCATTATTTTATGATGTCATAGACGTGTATTGAAGTCTATACGAATATTTAGTCATCAGCTTTTTAGCTCAATTATACAGTACAATTAACAAACAACAGATTTCGGAAGTAAAAAGTAATTGATTCGAAGGATGAACTTCTATCTGATATAAAGACGGTTGTCACGTGTTGTTTGATCACACTATGGAAGGATACGTCTTGAGAGGCTTGAAAATAAAACTAAGTTGAGGGTGATCGTGAATAACCGCATGTGCAAGAACTAGAACCCCAGACACAACTGCTTGAAGCCAGTTATACATGACCTTTGTCAGTACTTTAAGATGTGTTAGCTCCCTTTCACTGCCGTTCGAAACCTGTAGGGCAGGGTGTGTTATTCTTGAGGTCTACCTCTCTTAGCTCCCCTCTTTCGTAGTGGGGAGACGTTCATCTTATGGGGTAAATACCTTATTGTCACGTCCCTGTTAATTTGCTAATACAACTTTGCCCTCTGACTTTGCAGATTTTAATCTTTAACGCTCTTCAACCCGGGTGGTGTGGTAGGGATTAAAGTAACGAGAGTTTCAGTCAATATAGTGTAGTTAAGTTATCATGATAGGAAAGCTCGAAACGTACGCCAAAGTAGGTGCTACGCCGTTTTTTCCTGAAATTGAAATCCGGACCTTGGGTCAAATAAATACCGTACAACATAACTGCTAGCCGAGTGATTAGATATATTAATGTCCATAATGGTATGATTGTTGTTTATTAGATAATTAACTACTAGCCAAGTAGAAAGAAAAAGACCAATATTGACAGTCTGCTTAACATTAAAAATTCAGTGTTGGTTATTAGTTAATGGTCTTATCATGTGGCAAATCTTCAATGTAATTTATTAAGATGCTTCTTTGCAGTACAGTTTCACTGTCATCTAATGTATATATTTTTCTAATTGACATCTCACAAAATATACTCACTTTTTTCATATTGAATATACACAGAGACTTAATTTCTGGAACGTTTAATAATTTGACAATGTAATCGAAATCCATCACACATACTAACCAATAAAATCCAAACATTCCCAGGACTTGACAAATAACGTTGGAATGTCACCATTTTACGTAAATACTTGAAATAAGTCCCTTTTTACTGATGTGTGGAGAAAAATGCAGGTTAGAAATGTCTATTCGGTACAAATTGAATATTTTGGATGAGAAATTTAGTGTACGATCAGATGTAACTAATTAGTTGCTGCGGTGATTTCGTCATCAATGTTAGCTATCCAATCGATGTATTTTAGCCTAAAAATTTCCAACTTAAATTCCTACATCAGTAAAGTTTGCTGGATTTTCAAAATCCACAACTATGCTGTTTTGGTGGTATGGGAAAAGCTGAGCCTCTACTCATTCAGCATCTTTCCGTGATCGGTGGTAATATCCTGTGAGAAACGAACAAAATTTCACCGCAGCTGCATCCAGATATGTTGTCTATTACTGACCTAGATTGGTTAGACAGTTGCAGACAGATTTTCGAGTGATTGCATGGACCAAACCCTTTTGTTCAAGTATTCAACCAACAGCACAAAACCTTACCACACATTACCATCCCTTTACGATCTTAATTTTCATCTCTACTTCCAACAAAAATATATACTAACTTCTTACAAATCTGCGACCGCACCTTCTGAAACCAGTATGCCAACTGTGTGTTGTAATTGACGCCCGCATGCTACTCTAAGCTAACCAGTAAACCCCCAATCAAGATTTTCGCATCGCGAGCCATGGGCGTGTCATTCATGATACAAATGGACAGGAGTGTTTGTTCATTTGATTTCATCTAACCAGTGTAATGAACTCACACAAATCAAATGAGATTTGTGTGGCGCATCGTGGAACAATGTCGGTATTTAGAGCGGTGCCTTGAAAAGCAAAAACAATAAGTAGTGATCTCTCTTATATGAGATATATATATGGAAGTGGGATCGTATTCAATTTCTGCCTTATTAAAGAGCAGATATGACTAAAATTTATTATTATTCCATTTTCTTGCATTCCCATAATTGAAATTAGGAGAAATTCGAATACATGCATTACAGTTTCTATTATTTTCACATTGAATTTTAACAGATAGTGTAACTGTCACAATCACGAAGTAGAACCTGGTATATATGTACATCTGTTCAAGTTGCCATTACACAGCAAAGAAAGATAAAACTGTCAGGCTTAATCCCAGAATAGTAGAGGTAGTGACAGTATCGTCGGTAGTAGAAAAGACAAGGCGTCGGAGATATGACTAAGGGAAATATATACACGAAATGACATTTCCCTGGGTAAAATTTGGTGGAACGTTACAGGTTGATGAATGAAAACCTCACCTTGAAACTCCTACCTAAAGCCACACCCAGAAGAAATATGTATTTAATTTTTAAACATATAAAGATAACAGACAACTATTCTAGTGGGATATTAGTTTTTTAACGAAACATCAGCTTAGGCAGCAAAGATATAAAGATATTTGGTAACAATCTATATAGAAAAACAAAATACTTTTGAAATATTTTTAATAAATCAGCTATTAAGCTGGTAACAGGTGGAAAGTATAAGAATGTTTAAGATATTTAAGAAAGAAATTACATAGGATGAGCAATGAGTACAGAAAGACTCGTATACAGGTAAAGTATGCATTCATACTTAAGGGTAAACAAATGCCAATGGTCGTGATAAAGTTATCTAATAATGTGAAATATTAAACTGACTGGCAAAAATCATTTTAAGAAACTACAAAAAGTGAACTAAGTACCGTCTGATGATAATTGAAAACTGGTAGGATAAAGATGTATCACAGACTTTCAGATTGTGACTCGCTATCGATCAAACACACAGGTGATATGGCACAGTCGCTGTGGGCCAAACGTGAAACTGTGTTAGGAACATGAGGTTGCAATGAGGATTTGAACACAGGACAAGATGATCCCAAACTTAATGATGATGTCATGGAATCAGTTAAATTAGAAACCACATAAGAAGAGAAGAAGTCTTTTAATCCCTGTCCAAGAGCAGAGGAATCACAAATAGCATTGCGACGTCGTCTAAAACGATTGCGAAGTACGGCTGGAAGGTTAGGAATAGAGTCAAGCTGTCGAGACTCAGAAACAGGATTCGTTGGGGCTTCCACAACAGCACTAAGTGTTACAGGAGTAGGCGGTGGGCTCGGAACAGGTGACGTTGGTGGACCAGGAGGCATGGAAGGGCGGATAAACGGTGCTGATACCCCATAACAAGAGGCTAAACTGCACGAGCTACTGCTTTCTAGTGAAGGGGGATTCGATGATAAGCGTTCAGGAGAACCATTGAGCGAACTGGTTACCATACAATCAACTTTAGGTGATTCCTCAATACATGGTGACAAACGAGAAGTATGTGAGCTCCAGTTACGCCGTCTGTGTCTTACTCGGCAAGTACTTGGTCCGTATTTCTTGTTAGTGCGTGTTAAAACGTTTGTATCTAGGAAAAAAGAAAAAGGGTTTTAATCCAACATATTTTACTTCAGTAAACAACTTGATTGTTAACCTTTAGCATATAACACAAAAAAGAGTCGTCACATAATTTGCTAATGAGATTTAGTAATCCCCGTAAATGTTCTCATAGTTACTTCTGAAATACAGACAATATCATAGTATTCGTGATCACACGACGTTACGGATCGTAACAACCGTAAATTATAGCTGATTGGTCTATGAGTATTGTATAGTTAATCCTTAGCGCTGATCGAATTCCCATAGATCAAACTGATGAGTTTCAACTGGCGTGAAAGCTGGGTCTAGTGCGAACCTGTTATGACAGTCCTTTCACTTTTTACACGTATGTGGGACATTAATTTACCTTAGACGAATATCTACACTAGATTTCCCACAGGACTTTAACACAACTCGGATCAAGAACACGAGATTAGCATGACTGTAACGTCAATATATTTCCACACCAAAATCCGACACAATCCACCAACAAGGAACAGTCAATCAACAACAGTCAGGAAAAGGGAATATATAACACATATAACACCTCTCATCCTATCTAATGTCTGACTCAGCAAAACAACCAATCATTGTCATTCTCGCCCACACATCAGAACCACCCAGTGTTAAGGCTGTCAATTTAACTTGATAACTTTATACATCAGGAAACATATTTGCTTTGTTATAGATAACGTCTAATTTAAAAACTCATAACACATCCGGCTCTCCAGAGGAATTCAAACAAGTAAAAAAAAGGACAAACTTATTGTAGACTTGTGTTTACTTTGTTCTATACATATAGGCGCAGACATACTTGAAAATAGAGATAAGAATATTTTAGAGTGGTTGAGGTCAGAGTTCACAAGTGATTAAGAGTTTCGACGCTAAATTATGACCAATACTACAGAGTTGGTTTCCTGATAGATTAATAGTAAAATATTGGGTTGTTGAGAACGATAGACAGAGAATTGAAGCATAAATAAATTTCAAGTAGTGTAAGCAAATGACAATTATAGTTTGTGCAAACACATTTCAAATCTAACAAAATCAAACTAGACATAGTCCTGTAGTTTGTAGTTTGTACTTTAGGTATATTGATTGGCACGACCGATACTACAACAAAATTTTGAAATTTCACTGACAAACTTTGGAACGAAACAGGTGAAGGAGCTCTTAAGAAACCAATCAAAAGTCAAGTTTAATCCATGCGGCATGGAAACTCCATTCATAATAGATAATCAAAAACTGCAAGAACCCAGGAAAAATACCTCCAGCAACTGATTCACAAAGTCCTAAACTGGTTTACCTCATACAGTTGGAAAGTTATGGTTCCGAACCAGGCCACACTACTTCACAACGCAAAGAACCGATAATGTCTAATGCAATCCTATCTGAAACGCATGAGCTTGAATAGGGTTTGGTAAAAAGATGGTGAACTAACTTACCTTGACCAAAAGTTGTGTACAATCGGACGAAAGTGTTTCGTAGTTGAATAAGCGGACAACCTACTTATCTACAAAGTGAACGCACATGATTTTAAATAAATAGTTTGTGGTAGCCATACTAACTATACAACAGCATAGAATTCGCAGGTAATAAGAATCGTGGTTGCTGAGTAATCATACAGCATTTATAAAATGCATTGTAACTGGTCAAGAAATACCTGATTTCTCTAATGCATATTTATTACTGTTTCAAGTAAATTGAGTTGAATGCAAAAGGAAGCTATGAATGAACATTTGCAAGCTAAAGGTAATATTAGATCTAGATCCAGAAATATCAAAAATCTGGTATAGTAGGCAAAGCCTCAAGATAATAAGAACAGCTGGCTAAAAACGCTTTTAGTGGCCTACCTCTAGATGCATTATTGTAGGTAACTTTCATAGCTAAAAAGTGACCATTTTCGTACAGGAAACCTTGCAAACAGAGCCCACTCTTGTAGCGTATAAGACGAATACCCTCCACTAATCCAACGAAACTTACATAAAGACCTACAAAGGGAATGTAATGAAGTAAACTTTTAAAAAATTCAGTATCTATATTTACATGAAAATGTTTTTGTTAGGATTTGATGTCGTTATCAATTAACTCTGTAGTACCTTTAGTAAGAAATGGGCAATAAAACGTTGTTATAATAAAATGATAAGCCAATAGACTATTTGATACTTCGAGGTTTGAAGTGTGCTGCATGGGCCATGTGGGTTAATGAATATACAAAAGTATTTCTTTAGACTGACAGGTAGATGTTTTAAGTGAATATGCCTTTAACGCGTGTGTTTTAAAAAGAAGTTGTAGCTGTAAATAAATCCCCAAAATCAATAGCTCATTAAGTGTTCGACATTGGATGCTGACCACATTTTTTTAAGTGGATTTGTTTAACTGAAGGCTTTCGGTCATGCATCCGTACCAGATCACGTTTCGAACAAGCGTGGAACATTGCTCCTACATCCAGGTTAGAGTAAACGCTTCTCGATATATTGATAACGTATCAAATATATCTTTCCTACCTCTTCGCATCCGACTTCTGATTTCGATTAGTTGGGGAACGCTTCGTACATAGAAGGCGTTACTGGTAGCTAGTTACAAAATTAGAATAGTAGTCGTATCTTCAAAGTGCTTATTTCTAATGGTTAAAATAATGGGTCAAATGGTTGTGGACGGAAAAGAAGAAGCTTTCGCTTGACGGGCTGGTAAATCATAATAATATGTTATCCTTAGTCTTCAAGAATAGGTCAAGCTTCCTCTTAAAGGACTCCTGGGAAGTTGCTTGGACTACCTCAGTCGGCAGCGAATTCCAGAATTTGACAACTCTTACTGAGTATAAGTTGTTTTTACAGTCTGTTCTGCTATGTTACCCCTTAGGTTAGTACTGTGAATAAACTTAAGTAGATTTTAAGGGGATGACCAGAAGTGTTAAGGATACTGTAAGTCATGAAAATGTCACCGTTTTTGTCACAGCTTACGATTTCAAGGCACAGGGTGCTAACACTCCTAAATCTTTTTCGACTTGGGAAACTTCTAGAGAGGAGTTTCCTAGATTGTAAATACAGTCTGCAACGTGTCGCAGATGGACTACTTCATACTTTGAAGTGTTGTAGGTACGTCCGTTGTCGTCTGGCCATCTTTGAAGTCGAGTCAGATCCCCCCAGAAGTGCTAGCATATCATTTTGGTTTTGTATCTTTCTCCAACGTTTCACATCATCAGCAAAAAGCAATAAGTCAGATGAAACTTGTTGTGGAAGATCGTTAATGTAAATCAAGAAGAGAAGAGGTCCTAGTATTGAGCCCTAGATGACCCCACTAGGACATTCCACAGCCTGAGAGAAAGTGAAGTTAACCGTGACCTTAAAATGTCGGTTTTCTAGATATGAAGCGAGCCAGTCAATCAGGGGGGGTCGATACTTAATCGTCTAAGCTTATTGATAAGACATATGTGGTTGACCCTATCAACAGCGTTTGAGAAATCAGGGTAAATGACGTCAACCTTACCCTTGCGATCAAAGATGGTTGTCCATCTATCCATCGCAGTCAGCATGTTGGCCATACAAGTATGACCCTTTCTGAAACCATGCTGTTGGGGTGAGAAGAACTTTAAGGATAATAAGTATTCGTGTATACTGTCGTATATTAGAGACCCCATAGTTCTAGAAGGTATGGTTAAAAAGCTATCGAACTTGTTTCACTGAATTAAGCGACCCACCTACATTCTGTATGATTGAAAATTCTGGTATATTATCATGATTATATTCTTAAATAAACTAAATAGGGTTAGGGAGATGACATGCTTCGGGTGGTAGAACCCAGTGTTTACATGCTTTTCACAAGCTAGTATGAACCAGTTCGTTTCATTCTGCTGCCTTTTCGTTGTTTTGCAATGGTTCCATGTATTTAAAACTGTCAGATGGGTGGCAATTCAACTTTCTGACTGTATTAATTTTAGTAGCTGTGGTGTTTATTTGTGAATTTGCATATATTCGAGCTTAAGTGACTGTGTTTGTATCCGGACACTGGGCATCCTAGATACCACTGTAAAGAAAGGTGTTATAAAGTATGCCCTGAGCGCAGTCTTGGGTGCTATTCGGTCCTTCCTATCTGTCTAGCCCAGCCAGTTGAGTCCAGAACACAAATAACAGCCTCGGCAATATGAATCATTATTTACAAACATACTGAGTTTTTATACAAAGCAAAGTAATCAATAAACTGATTATAACTCAAGAATCGTATGATCATAAATCAAAGATCAAAATAATAGAAAACACGAATATGAATAATTTAGTTACGTAACAACTGTACAATAAGAAATAGTCATAATACATTGGTCGATAAATAGTCCTTAGAGTTATCATTCATAATTCACCAGGGGATATAACACCTCCCCTTTTTGAGAAATCCGGAGTCGACATCCGGATTTTTAATTTCTCGAATTCATCCTCCCCCACGAAAGACTGTTGGATCCTCATGTACCCAAGTTACCATTATTGTGACATTATTTAAAACATATTCGTCGTATTTAACTGAAAATCCACGAGAACTTATTAGATCGTGAGGATCGACGACATTCGATTTGAGGTCACCAGCGTCTGATTCTTCTGAAACAGTTTCCTTGAATTTACTCGGAACCTCATTAGTAAATAATGAATCATTAGGATAATCAGTATCTATGAAATTTGTATTGGATTCTTGATTATCATTTAATGCATCCGATATTTTTCTCCCATTTTTATAAGAGATTTGAACTGGAACATATGAATCAGCAAAATAATCGGGATCTGGCAGAACAATTAAATAATCTTGATCACTAGATTCATAAAAAAACTTTTTTGCATCATGACTGGTTTGATTTGTCGCCACTGTATTCAATATACTGTTTGGTTTGTTCCCCGTTTCTTCGTGGGCGGGTACTGCAGCAATTTTATGGGCGCTTAATAAGATATTGTCTTTCTGTGAACTGGACGATTCATTGTTCGCACGTTTTGTTTCAGGGATAGTAGGACTTGAGCCACGTATAGGGCATGCCTCTGAAACAGACAATACTGGACTACTGGGCTGATCATGTGTGACTGCTAGTGTTTCGCTTAAATTACTGCTTTTCACGGATTCATAGAGGCTTTCACTGGCATATTCATTTGTTCTGCAATCGATTTCCAGCTCTGTACGCAATTTTGAAATTAATGCGTCAACTTCCGTTGCACCCCCAAAGCATGGGTGATTCAGCAGCTTTGCATGTAGCTTGTCAATGAATTCCAATTGACTCTTCCTAAAGCGCTGCTCTTGTCGCTGGATTAGCAACTGAAATTGATCGGAAGTTAGAGCCATTTTTTTTTACCCCGTCGCCAGTTGTTATATCGTATGCGCCCGTAATTTGTATGAACGTGCGATTAGAGAGGAGTGAATTTATTGATCGGCCGCAAATGATGATTGAAATCGTACGAGCAGTCTTGATTGCTGTATTTTTTTCCAGAATCCCCGTCGAAAACTGTATACTTTTTTCTTTTGCGTACCAAAATCCCCGTCGCCACTGTTATAAAGTATGCCCTGAGCGCAGTCTTGGGTGCTATTCGGTCCTTCCTATCTGTCTAGCCCAGCCAGTTAAGTCCAGAACACAAATAACAGCCTCGGCAATATAAATCATTATTTACAAACATACTGAGTTTTTATACAAAGCAAAGTAATCAATAAACTGATTATAACTCAAGAATCGTATGATCATAAATCAAAGATCAAAATAATAGAAAACACGAATATGAATAATTTAGTTACGTAACAACTGTACAATAAGAAATAGTCATAATACATTGGTCGATAAATAGTCCTTAGAGTTATCATTCATAATTCACCAGGGGATATAACAAAAGGTAAATCCCCGAAATCAATAGCTCTGTATGTTTTCGACATTAGATGCTCATCACATTAGTTTTAATGGACATACCTAGCTAAAGGGGCTCAGTCATGCATCCGCACCAGATCGCAAGTGGAAACTCCGTACTCAAAGTCTCCTGCGATCATGAGCCAGTTCACATTAGTCACTTCTCGATATATCGATAATCTATCAAATATATCTTCCTACCTCCTCGCTTCTAACTTTTGATTTTTCTATGTGGGCATAATGGTAGCTTGTGCTCTCCCTATCTATCCCTCTTATAACCGACCAATTCAAAAAGCCTGCCAATATAGAGACTATAAGCATGCTGACCAGGACCTCTTGCTCTCACTAATCAAACTCTCAGACTGGGATGAATTCCTCTCATGTGACAGTCTCATAGATGCCATCAACATATTCTATTTGATCGTTAACTCTTGTCTAGATTCCTGTGTACCAATTAAAACGTGCAGGTTTAGTGAACCTTACGAATTATATATACCAATTATATATAGCAGCTAAAGCAAATAAATATCGCCTACAGAAACGTTATTTTAAGTCAAACGACTTCACGGCAGTTGCACAAATAACAATAATTTTCAATCAAATTAAACAGAAAGATAAGTTAAAAGCCGTTAATAAAGAGCTATTAGCACTTGATACTAGTTAAAAAGTACAAAACTTAACTTCCTTTCAATAAACGCGCTAAATCAACTCAAAATATTGATATACCAAGCATCCTGCATAATAGCATAATTTATCTCCTTCACATGCTTGAATACTAGTAAGGCTATCAATACCCTTAAAGTTTCGAGAGGTGGTGGAGCAGACGGCATCTCACCTTTTCTGTACAAGTATGGTGGTCCAGATATTCCACCTCTTCTTCTAAAGCTGTTTACTCTCTCTATGGAATCAGTCTCAATCCCTCCTGTTGGAATACTGCGTACATCATACCAAGTAACAAATATAGAGATATGACTGACACGAATAATTATCGGCCGATAAAAATTACTCCAATTATCTCTAGGATTATGGAAAAAATCATTGATGACGAACTTTCCAACTTTTTACTCACAGAAAAATTTATTAATGATACGCAACATGGATTTCTTAAAAATCGATCTTGTATGACATGAAACTTTGACTTCTTTAAATTAGTCTGTTGTCTACGTAGCCAAGGATATCTAGTATTAGTGCTATACCTGGACATTTCCAAAGCCTTCGACATGATCAACCACCAACTTCTCATACGTAAACTCACATCTTATGGGGTCCAAAACCCTTTGCGTAGTTAGTTTGATTCCTTCCCTAGCAACCGACATCAAATAGTTAAAATTAACTCTTTATTGTCGAACGCTGTCCCTATAAGAAGTGGTGTAAAACAATATAGTGTCTTAGGCTCTTTGTTCTTTTCATTTTTTATCGGTGATAGTTGTGAGTGTTTTTGTGTGGGTAAGCTCC